GATTTGCAGCTGTGCTAAGGCCTCCTCCGCAACTAGTCGCACCTTTAGAGCCCGCTTGAAGTTCCTACAGGTCCGTTCAAGCTCTTGGTCTAATGGTAGTAAATCTCCCGACTGGCTACGGGTCATGCACTACCTGCACACAATCAGCAAAAGCAACCCATGAAGGCACACAGGTGGAAGAGAGAAAATGCAGTAAAGAAAAAGCTAGAGTAACAAACTTTCATGTTTCCCCAATAACCTAGAGGGTCCCCGGCAATGGCGCCAAAAACTTGACACGCTAAAACACAACACCAAACTGCGACCAAGTGTAATCACAGTCTGGAAATGCAGTAACAGGCAAGCTCTATTTGTCGACCCGGGGTCTAGATCTACTGCCTACTCCGTGAATATCTATCATCTAGCAAACTAAGTCGATTGATTGTGATTTTAACTAAAAGCAGTATGAAAGCAGGAAATGGTTCGGTTTTCAAAAGCAAGGAAGAGTCACTCGGGAATGAGTCCCCATAGCTCCTTAGTTAGGTCACAGTTGTAATTACCCTGGGTTGATTAACTATTGATTAAACTGCGGAAGATCCAACAGTAGCTTGGAATCTCTTAAGCTGATCAAGCCCTCTCAGTCCAACTACCCGACATACGACTAGTCTTCACCGGGATAGAAAGCTGAGGCTATGAGCGCAAAACTCCACTACTGAAATTGGATTCCAGTACAAAGCAGTAAATCAATTAACTCTCGTATAATCAATCTACCACTATCGATTGATGAAGCTCTAACAACCTAATCAGATTCTATCTATGTCAGGTTGCAACAGAAATCAAGAAAAGATGATCATACTTCAATTGACTCAATAAATCATGCATCAATCGATTAAAATCAATCAGTATAACAATCCCAAGTCATTACAATCAAGATCCCTAACACATGGAACTAGGGTTCTTCATACCCAAGTGAGAGAAAGTTCTACTCCATAGAGAGAGAGAGGAAAACAGAAATCAGAGTAGTCATACTCATAACAATGAGGATAATATGCTTCGTGATGATGATCTTTACTACTGGGGATGCAATCTGGGCTTCAATGGTGAGAAATCCACTCCAAATAGCTCCTAGGGTTTGTTCTTCGCACTTCCTCTCTCTAAAACTCTGTTTTTGCTCCAAAAAGTCGATTCCCTCTCCTTTGGCTCGAAATTGGGTTAAAACCCAGAATTTTCCCGGCCACACGACCATGTGGTCTCTCAGTTTGCCCGTGTGAGAGTGGAAACGCAGCGTTTCGATTAGTGGACTTCAGGCACGCTGCACGGCCAGAGGCACACGGCCGTGTGGATTTCTAGTCTGGCCGTGTGAGCTCCCTGGACTGTTAGAATATGACTTGAATTTGATTTGGGTTTGTTTTGTGTTTTAGGCCTATTCTGTTTGGGTTTGGGATTGGGTTTTGTTTTGGCCTTTTCCTTGTATGTTTGGGAAAATGTATTTGGTTTTCTGTTTGGGATTAGGAGAAGAGTTCTATAAATACTCTTCATCACCCTAGTCTTTAGTAGGGGTCAGTCAGGTTAGTTTGTTTGGTTTGTCCGTTTGAAATTTGGTTTGTAACCTGTATTCTCCTCAAAATCAGTGAAATTTGTTCTCCCCTGCCCGTGGATTAGCTAGCACACATTGTGTTAGTGAACCACGTTAAATTTGTGTCCGTTCGTGTTGGTTTGGATTATCGATTGCCACGCTTCTGTTCTGACATGGACTTTCCACACGGCCACAAGGGGTCCCCTACATGGCCAGTGTGGCTTTCCCGTGCAAAGTGGTGCCACACGGCCAAGTCACACGGCCGTGTGGAAGTTTAGGCGTGCCCGTGTGAGTTCCTTAGTGATAGGGCAAAAGCGTATATGCCAATTTCCTATCTTGTAGTAAAACCGGAAAGTCTGGGTATCATCTCTCAGGGACTGGTACAACCTTAAGTTCTATCAATTTTTATTGAGCAAACTATATGTGAAAATGTTTAATGAAATGAAACTATGATCTACTAGCAAAGTAATTAAACAAAACAAGCAAATTAAAATGTCGGGTTTAATTCAATGGGAGTAAGCTCTGGGAGAAACACCGGGATTCACTACCTATCCTATCCAGATTAATTCACATATTCCAATCAATTTAATCCATATCTCTACAGCCAGGATATCACGAATGTGCTAGCTATCCCTGTCGGGAATTACTACGTACTAAACAATTAATTCAAATCCTACTGTCGTAGCTCAATGAATTAACTATATAGCCTGAAGATCGATATCCTATTTAAGACCGCATAGCACCTTATTTAATCCACTGTCGCTTCGATAAGTTACTATGTCACATGAAACAGGTTCAGTTATTAGGGTTTCACTGTCGCTAATAACCTAATTAACTACAAATCGTTGTATTGGTGGCCAGTCAACACAAAGCATTAAGAAATTTCATGCAATAGAGATTAGAAGAAAAGAATCATGAATCAATCCATCAAATCAAGAAATAGCTACATCCTATGGTGTTTCCCCCAGAAATCGGGGTTTAGTTCATGACGAAATTGAGATAAATCGATAGGGTTTTGTTCATCATGTTCTAAATCAACAAGAAACAACTAATTCGGTTTAAAAAATCCAACCAACTAATCGCTCTCGTTGAATTCAGCTCAAACCTTGGAAAAACCGATTGCCAATAGCCAATCACTCTCTGCTGCGCGCTGCTGCCTTTGATTTCTTTTTCTTCCAGAGATTTCCGCCGCCAGAGTCCAGTTCTCTCTCCTCCCAAAGAATTCACGTCCCCCAGCTCCGTTCGCCCTGCTCAATTAGTCAAGCCCATTCCGTCCCCTGGCCCAAAAAATATAATTCCCATGCTCCAAATATTGCTTCTTTTTCGTGTTTTCTCCACCTGCATCATATCAAACTCATGGCACTAGGCAGTAATGGTTTTTCAACCATTTCCGGGTTAGCGAGCCCTAAAATAGCACCAATTGGCTAAAACATACCACGGATAATCACATAAAGTCCAAGAATCCGATATATTAAAGCCAAATATCACTCAGCTTCTCGCCAAACGTCCAATCTTCGTCCAATCGACCCCGAACTCGTTCCCAAACCTTCATTCACGTACTAGGACCTGAAATATCACAAACAAGAACAACCTAGCGTGAAATCGGCCTAAAACACGAGAAATAAGACTCAAACGGTACAAGAATGGTGGACAAAAACATGTGTATATATCAAGTCATCAGAAGTTCTAATTTATAAATTGACAAATTGATTGAATCTGGAGGGTTGATAAACTGTCTTATGGTAAAAACTATAGCTGGTTGATTTTGTCTTGACCTATTCATTACTGGATGGCCCTCTTTGTTCTTCCAAAGAAAGTGATCACAACTATCCAGAAGTTTTGTTTAGATTTCCTGTTGTTTAGAGATGGTTCTGGTAGGGAGAAGATCTCATGGGAATATTTGGTTGTGCAAAAAAAAAGGCGGTTTAGGACTAAAATATTTGGGGACTTAGGATGTGGCATGAGTGGTTAGGCTGCTATGGCGATTACTCTTACAAGGGGACAACTTCTGGGTAGTTTGGGTCTATAGGTACAGGCTGAAGAGCCATTATGTGTGGGATATTAAAACATATTCGACAAGATCTTTGGATTGGAAGCAATTAATGAAGCTTCAACCATGGTTTTGATTTTGGCGGACGTGGATTTGCAGGGAAATGTGACTTGGCATGGTAAATAGATGATAAAGTTTCCTATGAAGTTAATTTGGGACTCTATCCGTGTTAAATGTGGTTGTATGATGGAAGGTTCCCTAGGCTAAGTACACTATACCTAAGTATCGATTCTAGTTTGGCTCATTGTTTTGGATCAAATAGCAACCCGAGACAAGTTGAAAGCTTGAGGTAAAATTACTGATGGTGTAAGTGTTCTCTGTTATAAACAGAGTGAGTCTAGAAGCCATATATTATGTATTTGTGATTACACATGAGAGTTCCTAAATGAAGTGACGAGAAGAACAGTGGGTATCCCTGCCACACGGGACGATATGTTAAGTTTAATCTATAGTATTGTGCAACGGGGTGGCTATATTGAACTTGTAAACGGCTCATTATGGTGCTGGCGTGTTGGCCTCATCTGGAAAGAAATGTTGTAGAAGGGTATTTGAGAAAGTTGCTTGGCCTCCACATCTATTGGCTTCCCTCTGGAAGGAGGAAGTGAGACTTTATAAGGGAGGGGAGGGCGGGTAATGTAGAGTTCCACAATCATAAGACTCTGAATTGTAGTCACTTAATAGAATTAGATTAGCATTCTTTTGTCCCAATTAGTATTTCAATTGTATTAAGAGACAATAGGCTAATTGTCTTGTATTTTTCGACTCTTGAGCCGATTTGATCAAGAAAGAGATGGCTTAATGGAAACTCCTAATTACCTAGAGGAACAAAAACAAATATCAACATTTTGTGTCCACTATGTTGACATTTGTGAGAAACCGGAGGATCGTTTTGACAATTTTTATTTTGGCTTACACTGTAATCCAATTAAAACTGAAACTGCCCCAATCTCCCACGACTTCGAACCCCCAAAAGCAAACGCAATTAATTAAGCTCACCAAAAACAAAATAATTTTTATTTTATTTTTACAATTACATCCCCAAATCCCGATCCAACCCCACCCCAAAATAATATTAAAAACCTAAAATACAAAAAGAAAAACAAATTTGCTGGCGACAAGCAAACACAAAACAAAAGCAAGGAACCGTTTCCGCTTCTTCTTCTTCCTCCTCTCTACAGAGTCAAAAACTACCACCAAACATCACCGGTTTCAATTGGTCTCCGACCGCCCAAAATCCCCCCTCCCTCCTAATCTCTCGCCGGGAAAACTTCTCTTTCCTAATCTATCTATATGCTATTGCCGATCGATCGTTGCTTGCTGCTGCTGCTGGCGGGAGACAGACTTGCCTTCTTCCTGGTGACCGGTGGAAAGTAACACTTCCTTCTTCCCCCGATTATTATGAAGAACAACAGCAAAGGAAGCAACAGCAGCAAGAACACTACAAGCACCAGTCATGGCTTCCTTCCTAACTCTTTGAAATTCATTTCGTCTTGTATCAAAACTGCTTCCTCCGGTGTCCGCTCAGCTAGCACATCGGTTGCCGCCTCAATCTCCCGCGACAATCTAGGCGGGGATAGGGACCAGGTTTGTCGCCCTCTCTTTTTTGTTTGCTTCTTTTTTTTCATGTCTTGTTTATTGAATTTGGAGTCTGGCTTGGTTAGAAATGGCAACTCTGGGATTTTAGGAGTTTTCGGGTTGGGGGGAACCGAGCGGACTTGTTTGGATGCTGGAAAAGTTTGGAGAGTGGGGAAGAACTGAGAGATCATTTTTCTTGCTTTGGGGCTTCTTTATCTCTGGCGCTTTGTGAACGTAGAGTTTGTGAACTGAATGGGACTGTTATTTATGGCGTAGGAGGACTAGGATGGCTTCTGGGTAGTGGAGCGGTCTTTCTTTTCTTTTTCTCTCTTTTGTTCCGGTTTCCATTTCTGTTCATCTTGCTTTTATGAACTTTATCCCCCCATCCCCAACAAAAGGGTTGCGACGTGACCAACTTCATTCAATCAAGATGATGATATCTTGAGATTGGCGAGGGGTTGGAGAAAAGGTGATAGGTAATTTAGCTAGTGGGATTTCGTAGTAGTTATTCGCTTGGTTGGGGTTTGTTGATTTGGAAGGAATCCATCTTGAGCTCTGGATATTACTGGGCCAAAAACTTAATCTTCCTTTTTGGTTAGTTTTTCGCTTTTGGACAGACATAGTTGTGAACTGTTTCTGTTAATGTAAAATTCTTCGATGGGTTAATTGTTGGCTCTGGAGGGTGTGCTTTAGTAATGTATGGCAAATATGGGGGTTGCAGCAGTTAGGATAGGAAGAACTTGCTGCATGGTGGGGATCTAGATAGATGCTTTAGAATTTATGTGTGCTGTTATGTTTAATTGCAAGCATTTTCACATGCCGTTCACTGCTCATTACTAGATGACCAAATTGATTAATGGTTGACATAACTCTTGCCCTGCCCATGGTGTGAACAGGTCCTCTGGGCCTCATTTGATAAGCTACAACTTAGTCCGTCCTGCTTCCGAAATGTGCTCTTACTTGGGTACTCCAATGGCTTCCAAGTGATTGATCTTGAAGATGCTTCTGGTGTGACTGAGCTTGTTTCAAGACGGGATGATCTGGTCACATTTCTACGTATGCAGCCACTCCCTGCTAAGGCTGAGGGTTGTGAAGGATATAGAGCTGCACATCCTTTGCTCTTAGTAGTTGCTTGCGACGAAACTAAAAGCCCAGCAATTGTTATCAATGGGAGAGATGAATTGGGCAGAGATGGATTCAATGAGAATCATGCTGGAGGATTTGCACTTTCTCCAACTGTTGTTCGTTTTTACTCTCTGAAATCGCACAACTATGTTCATGTTCTAAGGTTCCGTTCTCCGGTATTTATGGTAAGATGCAGCCCTCAGATAGTGGCTGTGGGTCTGGCTACACAGGTAAGCATGGACTTGCACTAAATATTGTATGGTTATCTTGATGGAACACTTTCCTTGGTCTCTTTTTTAAAGCTTGTGATTCTGCTGCAGATATACTGCTTTGATGCTCTCACTCTAGAGAACAAGTTAAGCGTGCTCACCTATCCTGTTCCTCAATTGGGCATCCAAGGAGGGATTGGGGCGAACACTGGATATGGGCCAATGGCAGTGGGTCCAAGGTGGTTAGCTTATGCTTCTGACAATCCATTGCTATCAAACACTGGGCGCTTAAGTCCACAAAGTCTTACACCTCCCATGGGTGTAAGTCCATCAACTTCACCTGGCAGCGGCAATCTAGTGGCTCGTTATGCCATGGAATCGAGTAAGCAGTTAGCTACTGGATTGATGAGTTTAGGTGACATGGGCTACAAGACTTTGTCTCGATACTGTCAAGATTTCATCGCTGATGGTTCTGGTTCACCTGTCTCTCCAAATTCTTGTTGGAAAGTCGGACGAGTTGCAGCTCATTCTGCAGATGCTGATACTGCTGGAATGGTCAGTTCTCGTAAGCTCAGACAGGCTTAAATATAACATAATTGTCCTACAATTCCAGATTAAAATATGAAAAGGGAAGGTGATTCCTTGCATGTTTATGAGCTTTTTTTTGCTGTTCCCCCCTCCCTGTATTTAAGCTGAACTTTGCGAGACTGAGATGCTTAATGAGGTTATGTAGTTTCTAGACTTACTAAGGAATAGTAGGGGGATTGCCTGGGATTTCAAAGGTACATTTTATGCACATGTGAGTTAATTTCATTAATCAAGCATAAGTCGAGGCTTACTTGATTTTTACTTCGATTTCTGCAGGTTGTTGTGAAAGATTTCATATCCAGAGCTGTGATTTCACACTTTAGAGCTCATACAAGTCCCATTTCTGCTCTATGCTTTGATCCAAGTGGTACGCTTTTGGTTACTGCATCAATTCATGGGAACAACATTAATATTTTCCGGATCATGCCATCCTCTGTTCACGGTGGTTCTGGTGCAAAGAATTACAATTGGAGCTCTTCTCACGTGCACCTTTACAAGCTTCATCGGGGCATAACATCTGCGGTACATCTCATTTTCTCTAGTGGTTTGTCAATTAGGTAGTTTGATTCTCAAGGAACAGTGTGGTTAGTAATCTCATGTGTGTCTTGTTTGTGGTTTTCCCAGGTGATCCAGGATATATGCTTTAGCAGTTATAGTCAGTGGGTTGCCATAATTTCATCTAGGGGAACCTGCCACATATTTGCACTTTCACCATTTGGTGGCGAGAGTGTTCTCCAAATGAAGAACTCTGAAGTAGATGGGCCCATCCTATTACCGGTGTTTTCTCTACCATGGTGGTCCACTCCCTCATTCCTGGTGAACCAACAATCCGTTTCTGCATCCCCACCATCGTCTGTTACTCTCTCTGTGGTGGCCCGAATAAAGAATACCCATTCTGGCTGGCTTAGCACAGTTAGCAATGCGGCATCATCTGCTGCAGGAAAAGCGTCAATACCATCTGGTGCTATTGCTGCTGTCTTCCACAATTGTGTGCCGCAAGATTCCCAACCTTCTCATTTGAGAAAAGTAGATGCCATGGAGCACCTTTTAGCTTATACGCCATGTGGACATGTGGTTCAATACAAGTTGGTGTCGTCACTTGGTGCAGAACCTAGTGAAGCTACTCAAAGAATCGGACCGGGTTCCTCACTTCAGACTGCAGATGAGGAACTACACATGAAAACTGAATCTGTTCAATGGTGGGATGTTTGTAGAAGAGCAGATTGGCCGGAAAGAGAGGAGCATATCACTGGCCTTACTCACAGCAGACAAGAAAATTTAGATATGGCAATGGATACTTCTGACTGTGAAGATAATGAGGCACGAAAAGTTGGCGCTTCTGATGTGGACATAATGAAATCACATGAGCAGTCTCACTTGTATCTTGCAAATGCTGAAGTCCAGATGAGCCCCTGGAGAACACCGCTCTGGCAGAAATCCAAGGTATTTAAATTATGATATAGCTGAGAAAAATTGTGTTTCTTGATCTTCTGGTTTTTTAACACTCTTTCCATTGGAATAGGTGTATTTCTATGCAATGAGTGGGATTGAAGGTGACAAGCAGAATGTTGCTGAAGATCACTCCGGTGGAGAGATTGCTATAGAAAAGGTTCAAGTCCAAGAAGTTGAAATCAGGCGGAAGGATTTGTTACCTGTTTTTGACCACTTTCACAGGGTTGCTGATTGGAGTGACCGGTAAATTTGGTTTTTTTTTAATAATTATTATTCATTATGTGTCTACGACATTCTACATCACAGCATCCTAGATTCTGTTTATTCTTTGCAACTTTCTCTTAGATCCTCTAATTGTTGCTCACTATTAACTTGTATATATTTGATCAACTAGTAGGCACCAGTTGATATGTCCCACTTGATTGAAGAAGCAACTTCAAATTTCAAAATACTATACAAACCCCAACTTCTTACATTTACTTTAAAAGTTCATGATTTTTTTTTTCTTACAAATGCACCTCAACTTTTACTAGTTGTTGTAGTTGCCAACTCCGTTTACTCCAAATTTGTTGAATCATTTGTCTTAAACTGCTTATTTCCTTTTCGCCTTTTTCTTTTCTCCCTGTAAGTTAGTGTTCAATTAAGCTTGTCTTGCAAGCAGCAGCTTCCCAAGATATATCTGCATGATCCCTTTGAAAATGCATCTCGGCAGCAGAGTTCGTTGTTCCACATGCCACCCACCTTCTTAAATTTTTTATTTGGAGGTATTCCTTTCCATCATCCTTTGCAGGGAACTGCGAAGGGAAATATCTGCTCTGTCTACTGGGTCTGCTGCAGCTTTCCAGCCGAAGATGTTTCCATCCAGTTCTGCTGCAAACTCAAATGGAGGTTTGCACTTATTTCAAATACAGACGACGTGGCTTATTAACCTCTTGATTGCAACTCATCTCAAACATTCTCGGTTTTCTGACAGGGTCATCAACAAAATTGTATATATCTGCTCAACATAATCCTGGCAAATTCGGAGGGATTTCGGGTTTCGCTTATCGAAGCCCAAGTAGCAATAATTGTGGTTTGCTTTCTTTTAAGCCTACTCCAATGAGTATCTCTCCTGCTGAAGAAGATAGTAATAACTCTGTGCATAGTGATGTAGTATCTTTAACCCATGGCTCGCCTTCTCCCGAAAGAAATATGGGAAATGAAGGCCGGTCAACAAATAGTGTTCTGACCAGTGAATCTTCAAATGCAAGCTCCAGACGTTCTGATTTGAGTGCAAATATTATAGACGAGGGGATGATGGTGAATGAGTCTCCAGATTTCGAACAGCTTTTCCAGGAGGGCTACTGTAAAGTTGCTGCCCTTTCTGAATGCTGCGAATCGGAGAAGAGCAAAGTCGTCAGTCCATTGGATAACAATGCCAGTCCTCAAGGATTGGAGAAGCCTGATGATGACGATGATGATGACATGCTCGGAGGTGTCTTTGCTTTCTCAGAGGAAGGTAATTTCCATACTGAATGTGCAATCATGACCAGTTTGAGTGCGTATTGCATGAGTAGCTTTGTGAAAGCATGACCATGATATTCTGCACATGAGCATTACTTGCATGGGTGTTCAATCAGATCAGGTACCATGAACTTATAAGATTTGGTTAGGTGGTATGATTTGGTGATCTTAACTAATTCGGCTTAAGTGGTTATGGTTATTTTGGTTTGTGTAATTTGCTAGTATGGTTGAGACATTTTGTTTCATGGTTAATAAAATTCTTTCGAGCTTAATTGATTCTGTCATTACCAGTCTAAGTAATCATTTGAATGCCTCTGATGACAATCCACATTTGATAAACTAACTAATAAAGAGAATTTATAGTACATTCAATTGTTCCATCTGGGCAAACATGAAGTTGTTATTTTAATGTGATGAGACCATGTTGTTTTGTTGCTTATTGCTAACAGGTTAACGTTAGCATCTTCCGGTCGAGCTCGAGCCATGGCTGGCTGATGAAATTCGCATTCTATCTATTTGCGATACGTGTCGGCCACCGGAGGAGGGGCATGGAAGGGTGTGCATTAGGGTTGTGTACTAATTCGTAAGGACACAAGCGAAGGTGGGTTTGCGAACCAGTGTGGCAATCAATGGGTACTGACTGATGTGAATCCTGGGGGAGAAAGAGAAGAAGATCATTGCATTTGGCAAAAATCTCTTTCGATTTGCTTCTTCTTCTTCTAATTCTAGTTGTACATGCTGTAAATTTGGTAAAATTCACAGGATATAGCTTGATTTGTGTGGGGGGTAAAAGAAGGTTTACGTTCTTCTGTCTATGCTGTGTAACATTATTCTTCATTCTTGGCCAAAAGGAAGGGGTGGAAAAAGGAAAATGATTTGCAATAAAGAACACCACTACAGCTGATTCTTTCTTCCTCTCTCCATCATCATTCACATAGCATGGGGATAATAAAGTAAGGATAGGGTAGAACTGAAATTCACAAGGAAGGAAGCTATCAAGTGATGTCGAATTCCTCGCGTATACATAATCATAATTCGTTGGTAACTATCGGGAGCCAAAAAGATTGCATCTTGACATGGACTTCAAATCAATAATGGGTTGTCTTGTTTGTTGATAACATTGAAGACGGAATACGTGGGAATCCATTGTCCATACCCCAAACCCATAAACGGATAAGTTAAGGTAACCAAACCAAATGATAACGCAACGCCTTCCTCTTAATTACAACAATTTAAAAGCTATAATCCGTCTTGAACACCTTGTTGCCGGATTCCTCATCACCACCACCAATCCTTTTCCTTCCTTGCTCCACCAAATCATCATCACTTTCATCCCCGTCGGCGTCTCCCTCAAATGCAGGGTGATTAAGAACACTGTTAAGCAGCTGCGTCCCTCTAAGAGCATTGGTTAAAGGCAGATGACCTTCAGGGGTATCCTCATTAAGCTCCCAAATGAACTCCCCTGGAAAGGCTCTGTAATTGTACTGCTCCACTTCGCTGTCTTGGAGCTTCTTCATCCACCCAACTTTGATGAAGAAGTTGGTGAAATCCATTTTAGCCTTCTTCTTCCATATCTTCTTCTGGACGCTGTACCCGAACCTGCCCTCGCTGTGCTCCTTCCAGAGCTCGTCCACGGCCCTGATGTCTGGTGTGGGGATGAATTGGACCTCCGAGAAGAAGACGTAGCCACGCGCCACCGCTGGCTCTCCGGCCAGGGCGATGAGGAGGCGGCGGGTCTCGTCGTCGGCCTGGCGGTAGTCCCGGGCCTCCAGGTGGCGGCGGAGGAGGTCCAGGGAGGTGGAGGGAGCGGCGGGTTGGGAGGTGGAGGGTGTGGTTGATGTGATGGAGGAGAAGGCGGTGGTGGTGGAGAGGGAGAGGGATGACGTGGCGGCGGTGGGTTTGGGGAAGGAGGTGGAGGAGAAGAGGGGGATGGCGGTGGCGGTGGAGTCGGAGTGGTGGAGGAGATTGGTGAGGTGGCGGTGGAGGGAATGCAGGGAATTGGTGGCCATGGTTTCAATTTCAACTTGGATCGGATGGGTTTAAGGTGTTAAGAGTGAGTTTTGTGGTTTGCTATTGAAGTCAAGTGAAGTGGGAGATAAGATAAGAGAGAGGAAGGGTATGGGACTGGGAACGGAATGGTCACTTTGATTGGCCAAATGTGGGTGAGGCTAGATCCTATCCTCTCTGCTATGCAAAGTCGAAAGAATATTTTGGGGGTGAAATGGGTAGTTTTTTTTTAATTTGGTGGCTAGGATGAAATTTGCACATACAAACAATAATTTCTTGGGCTGAAATGTTATTTTCCGGTCACAACACACAAGAGATTATTTATTTTGGAGTAGTCATATACACAAAAGGTTTTAATAATTTTTTGTTGGCGGATATATCCTCCAATAATATATATTAGAGTTTTGTGAACTTTTCTCCATTTCAAATTTTCTGCAATGAGAGTGAAAGTAGGAAGGACATTTTTGTCTTTACAATTAATTATTTATCTCATATAAAAATATCAATATGAGGATTTGAACCTGGGTCTCTTAAATCAAAGACAACAATCACAACCAATTACACTAAACAAATTTATTGTATCTTTTTTAGTACAAAGCATACACAAAGTTAGACTCTGAAAATTGGATGAATTTTCCATCATGATTACCAAGCCCACTAAGTCTACCGTATATATTTTTATGGTGCTTGATACTTCAGTTTTCATAGTAGCTAGAGTTTCATGTAATTTTCTCAATTTTAAATTTTTTGCTCTCGCCTTAATTTTTTTGCTAAAGGTAGATTGGTAATTGGCTACCATAGAAGAAACTAATTATGTTACTGCGTGTTGTATCCTTGAAATTTTCAATTTAAACTTAAATTTAGTGCTTTTTTATCTTTGTTCTTATCTCTTTTAACTTCCTCCGAAATTCCCTCTATCGTGCAATAGTTTACGCCCCTTTCACTTTTCAATACAAAGCCTCCTTTGAAATCAATCTTTTGGTATCTCTTGGCACTACGATTTTATTATTGGGGATTTAAGCTAGACAGGTAGAAGATTTCAACTCTGATATCAATACATGACAAATAGAACGGAGTTCAATAAATGGAGTTGTAGAAGGAGGATTAGAGATGGAATTTTTTATTGAAACATATATCTCTTTAGATAAAAATTTGGTTCTACAACAGAGAGTGGTGACTATTGGACCTTTAGGTTTATGGTTTTTGAAGCTAAGTCGATTCTTTATTCAACCTACTGGAACTGATAGATACGGAGTGTCTAATTTTGTGCTTTATTACTTTGATCGAGTTTATTAGCATATTGGAGGTAACCCTAATTTTGTCGTTTGCTCTCAAGTTTTATTGGTCCCCTCTTAATTGAGTTGTTAGTATATAGTTGACTTGAATCAACAACTCTCCATTTCTTTTTGATTAGTGGCATATTGTTCCTAAGGAGAGCATTGAACCCTTTATGTAGGATTGTGAAGTTTAAAATTGTGTTTCAAACTATCTATGGCGTGTGGGAATTCCAATGAGCTTTTGTACTCTATCTTTCTTGACAATCAACTAACCAACAGCATTTTAATTGGGGCTTAATTATCGTTATAAAAATGAGATCAATCATTTTTATATTTTATATTCTTATTTCTCCAAAAGTTCGACCTATATATTCTTTCTTTATATATCATCTAGATCGAAGAATTGTCAATAAAATTAAACGGGTTGATAGACTTAAATGTAACATAAAAATACAAATAATCAAATATGAACATTCCGGCCAACAGGCCGGGTTATAAGCTAGTAATAAATATAACCAGCTTTTAAGTCATTGGTAGAAAAAAGAGCTTGTAAGTCAGTGATAAAAATAACTTATGGTTTGCATAGGATGTCGCTCACATGTCCTTAATTAATTACTAGCTTGTTGTGTAATCCGTTGGACGGAATGTAATTTGAATACAATCTGTTTGAGCCATTTTACACTTTTTCTAAATATATTTACATATAAGATAGAAATTTAGTGACTGAAATAGAATGTACTAACTTATATCTATTAAAAACCCAAATAGTCAAATTCCATAAAAAAAACATATCTATCTCAAGATCAACCCACCATTCCCTTGCCTCTCTCCCCCTCCCCTTCCTCTCTCTTCTTCTCCCTCTCTAACGATCAGACCCTTGATTTTGTAGAGCCCGTTTTTGGTCGGACCTAGTCCAACCAGTCGCCCGATAGAGGTGTCACAACCTTGGTTATAACACTTGTGAATAACCATTCATAACTTGTCTATTTAATGATGTAGTCACTTAGTTGCCTATGGTTGAAAAGAAAATTGACACTTGGGTCCTGTAAGTACCCTTAATTGACATAGCCATAGGCGAAATTCCAAACGAGGACAAAGAGCGAAAGGTTGCGGAGCTTTGGGATGCTGAGGATGGGTGGAGAGTGGACAGATTTCAACATCTTCTCCCGTTGGATGTCACAGACAGAATCAGGGGGGTTTGGGTCAACTCCCTCTCTTTGGACAAAGATCAAGCGATCTGGAACCACACATCGACAGGATGCTTCACTACCAGCTCAGCCTATAACATGTTATCGTTAACAATAGATGATCAAGACTTATCACTCTGGAAGAAAATCTGGAAGCTTCATATTCCGGAACGGGTTAGAGTCTTCATTTGATGACAGCTCAAAGTAAGCTCACAACCAACAGTGTGCGCAAATACAGACACTTGACCGAGGATGACAAGTGTCCTGAATGCAAAGATATTTCGGAAACTAATCAGCACTGCCTTCGGGACTGTAGCATTGCCAAGTCAGTTTGGTTAAAAAGCATTCCTCAAGCTCAACAACAACAATTCTTCAGCCTTGACTACTTAAGCTGGCTGAAATGCAACCTCAAAGACGAGTCAGAAGGAACCTGGATAGGAGATTGGGCCAGCTACTTCAGCCTCTTACTGTGGTACATATGGAAAAATGAAAATGAAAATCTATATAAGAACAAAAAGCTCACTACCTCCTCTCTCATCAATTATGTTACTACCAAAGCGAGGGAGTGGGCAAAGGCGTGGGTGAATGCTAAATTACAGGTCGACTTCAAACCTTCTTTTCCCAGGACTGAAGCTCTCATCGGATGGAAGCCGCCATCCTCAGGTTGGATGAAGCTAAACACGGATGGAGCTGCTCAGATGAACTCCGGAGTTGCAACGGCAGGAGGAATCTTACGGAACAACTTTGGGGATTGGAAAGGAGGCTTTCCAGGGACTGCTCCTTGTCTGGAAGAAAGGGTGTCAATTCCTCATTATAGAATCAGACTCCCTCCTTGCTTTAGATCTGATCGAAAAACGTACAGATCATGCTCATCCTTATGCCACTCTGTTAGGATCTATTCGCAGGACTCTTGCTCAAGGGTGGGTGGTTCAACTAGTGCCTACGTATCGGGAAGGGAATAGAGCCGCAGACTGGCTCTTGAAGTACAGTCTCGTCTATCCCTTCGGTACATATGAACTTGATGAGCCTCCGCTGGATTTGGATCATATCATCAGGGAAGATGTGATAGGTGTAAGCTTTCCTCGACAAATCATTCAGGAAAGTTGAATGTGTCTACTTGTTCTCTTTATTTGATCCTTTCTGTAGAGTGCTGCAGATTCAAGGGGTGTGTCCCTGTTGGTGGACTTGTTGTTTCTCCCTGTAATCGTTTAGGCTGACTCTTGCCTCCTCTTAATAAAAAAAAAGTCAGTGATAAAACAATTTATGGTTTGCATAGGATGTCGCTCACACGTCCTTAATTAAGTACTAGCTTGTTGTGTGATCCGTTGGTCGAAATATAATTTGAACACAAAGTATTTATGATGTGTATTTAAATTTTTTTAAATGAATTGAAATGTTGAATTCGTATGACATGAAGGTGACATTAAAATTATTTTTCCATTTTCGAAATTCTTATAACTTTTCATCAATGGTGAACATTGTAATCTTAATGATTATAACCAAAGTTGTCAAACTGGTTTAAGTCATTGAGCCGGTCAAGCAAGTAGTTTGAAGTTTAATGGTTTGATTGAGGTTCAACCTGTTTGAGCCGTTTTACACATTTTATAAATATATTTACATATAAGATAGAAATTTAGTGACTGAAATAGAATGTACTAACTTATATCTATTAAAAACTCAAATAGTCAAATTCCATAAAAAAAACATATCTATCTCAAGATCGATCCACCATTCCCTTGGCTCTCTCCCCCTCCCCCTTCCTCTCTCTTCTTCTCCCTCTCTAACGATAAGACCCTAGATTTTGTAGAGCCCGTTTTGGAGCATGACTTTGGTCGTACCTAGTCCAACCAGTCTCCCAATAGAAGTGTCACAACCTTGGTTATAACACTTGTAAATAACCATTCATAACTTGTCTATTTAATGATGCAGTCACTTAGTTGCCTATGGTTGAAAAGAAAATTGACATAACAAAAAAAGAGTGTCTGAAAAAGCATAACATAAATAGGAAACTCATGATGATAACCTTTAGTCAACATTTATTTCTTTTGCTTGAAAAACAATACATATATAACAATATCTAACCCTTAAAGTATTCTACACAATACAATAACAAAATTAGTAAGAAAATAACATTTCCATCCATACTCTATGCAATGAAAAAATTATTTAACAACCAAGATACTCTAAATTTAGTTGAAGGACAATCTTATTCACTCAACAAAAAAAAAAATTAAACATATCTTGTGGTACCTATCTTGCTAATACACATGACCCCATCAACGCGTCCATGAAAAATCTAGCCCCACTTTCATGATTTGTCTTGTACAGCGTTATTTCATATTAAACTAAGTAACTATGAATGATACATCTAGTCAAATACCCTATTGAAATCATCTATAAAAACTGATATTCATAAATTGTGTTCTTTTAAACTCACTCATTTTCCAATCATGCCATATTATCAAGAAATTTAGGATTTAACGATTAACCAAACTAAAACTTTCAAAAAACTAGTCACTTACAGTTTGCATAATAATATCGTTGCTTTAATAATTTAAAAAATCAATACCAATTTAAGAATTCTACATCACATCTACACATTTAGTATTGCAATTCAATATGCAATATTCGAAACAATGATATTTGG